ATGGGTAATCTTTACATCATAACTCTTATTAAGTGTTCGTCTAAGCTTGGTAAATGTAATTTTTACCGTTATGTTCGATCCAAATGAAATATTCTTCATTGCAAAACAACTGACTCAACCATTTCAAATTTGAAGCCTTTGATGACGAATTTTAGCCGCCAATCATCTTTCGAAATTTTCTTTTCCTCATTTAGAGTGCCCAGACCCCTGTGAATGTGAAGTCTCCCACCAAACTATCATTAGTGGGAACTGTAGTGGAAAAGAACTTAATTCAGTTCCATGGAAATTTCCCCTTGCCATCTCAAAATTGTGAGTACTAATAAAAAGTTATAAACACCAAGAAAAAAATTGGTCAAAAAGACTGATTTTCCACTAAAAGCCTTATTCGTAGAGGAATCCCTCTCATGCTTTCTACGTAAGGCCTTATTGTCAAATGAAGTCCTTTCATTCATTATAGAACTCAAATCAATTAGGACAACCCCAGGACAATGTATGATGTACCATAACTGATAGACGAACTGTGGGAATTCTTAATGGGCAATGTCCTACACAGGATTAGCTGTATCCGCCAAGAATCTGAAAGAAAGGGTGTGATCTTAAATTAATTTACGAAAGATTGGCTGGAGAATGAGGCTTATATTTGGGATTCAGTCACTTTACTTGATCCTCTCTTAGAACTAGTGACGAGCATGTCCTAAACCGTAAGCGTTATAATTAAATACCCAGCTTTTAGTATAATAACAAAGTGAATAATGAGGGATTTGCTTCATAGAGTTATCCAAAGTGTAAGTTCTAAGTGCGAAATTTTTTTTTTTTGGATTCTTTGCGAGTTTAAAGTTCATTATTTAAGTCATTTCACCCCGTAACTAGCGGAAGTTTATACTCGTGGTTTCATTAGCGCCCTTTTTGTGATTTTATTGCCACCTTATTGCCGCCTTATTGCTACTTCGCATAATTTATCGATGTACACATAGCAGTAATATACCTATTTTCTCGTTATTAGCGCCAAGCATAGTTCAGTAATGTACCACCGTTTTCGCTCGCCCTTTCCTTTTCTTTTTTTCGGCCGAAGCAGTTTCGCAATTTCAGTATCAATCTTGGTCTTTTCTGTGACCGTAACAGTGCAAGTGTTTCAGTTGTGTTGTTTGTTATTTCTTTATATCGCATATCGTGCATTGTTTGTTATTTGGTTTCCACTTACGTCATTTACGCCGTTGAGGAATTAAAGTGAATTTTATTTATTTCTACAAGAAGTGGAATTTTTTAATCCGTGGCCACAAATTACGCGTAGTGCAGTTTCATTGTTAAAAATTGATGCGGGTCACGCCGTTCCATCATGAGTAGCAGGACTAGTCAGGTTACGGAGCCAATTGGTCGACGAGTCGGTGCTCGTGTGCAACAACCAAACCTTATGTTGGGAATTGGAAGCCGTTAAGCTGCACATCATTTGCTTGAAGAAAAATTCGAGATCAGTTTGCCCATCCGCGGTTACCGTGAAATCGAAAAAAATTATTGGTTTGATATCTGATGACCGGAACCTTAAAGAAGTGAAAGAGAAGCTTATTCATGTGGATAACGCTTTCCAAAGACTCCGAGAAGCTCATCACGATTATAGCAGCGAGATTATGGACGAGGATGGCATCGCTAAGTACGAGCCTTACCTTAAGAGTGAAGAAAAAGAATTCGGCTTATTCCGCCAGCAAATCGATGATAATTGTATCTGAGGAGATTCAGTTGTTCAAGTAGATTCAGTTGTGAAACCTGAAGACTCAATAAGCTTTGCTAGCGCATCAGAACCATCAAAGGCATCAAGAGCATTTAATGCTTCTAAGCTTTCAAAACTCTCAGTCGAGTAAAATCGCGTGGCAGCCGCGCCTCATCAGTCGCAATTGCGAGAGCCAAAGTCGCCGAATTGAGGTCCGAATTTGCCATGCTTGAAAAACGTCAAGCTCTCGAGGAGAAGGTTTCGTTTGAAACAGGAAGAGTTCCACCTAAAGTTGGAAGCTGAAATGGCGAAGACATCAACAAAGGAGAGAGCCTTCGCTGCAATGACCACCACATTTTTACCGCAGCTACAGCCAGTCAAATTGGAACTGAGGTTCAATAACCAGGATTCCGCTGTTCCCTCCCGCACAACTAGGACTATCCAGGAAGAAGTTCCATTTTCAGAGCAGAGCGATCCTTGTAATTCTATTCTACGTGGCCCACATAGTCTTTCTGCGCCTAAAGCCAGTGAGGATTTGAGGAGAGAGACCATCGAATTCCAACGACAACAGAACGCCTTTCAGCTTCAACAGAATAGGATAGTTGAATTGCTTGCACTAAACCGGAATAGAGGCAAACTTCCACAACTTCGCGTTCCCACCTTTGACGGAAATCCCAATGGTTACCGCACCTTCGCTCGAGCTTACGAGAATTTAATTGAGTTTAGGACATCTAGCAGTACCGACAGGCTCTACTTCCTGGAGCATTTTATAGCTGGAGATTTTTAAGAACCTGTACGATCCTTTCACCACCTTCCACCGGATGAAGGGTACAACGAGTCCTACATGCTCCTAAGAAAGAGGTTTGGCGATGAATACCGCATAGCATTCGCTTACGAGACAAAAGCTTTAGAATGGCCTAACATAAGAGCTGAGGATAGTATGGTTTTAGACCGCTTTTCGATCTTTTTGGCAAGCTGTAAAGGCGCTCCGGTAGGAAGCCGATTAAGCTTAAAGTTCGATCAACCGGGAAACATTTAAAAGTTTGTGCTTAAGCTTTTTACAATTTGAGATAGAGAAGGCGTCGTATAACCAACAACATTATGGAGTTACAACCCGGCAAAGCCTGTGGACTTCAGCGACCTCATTGTTTTTATTGATCTGGAAGCTAGCATAGTAACCAATCTAGTCTATGGCAGGATCTCTGACGGCATTAAACCAGAGACTGGTCAGAGGTCATGTGGTAGCAAGACAGTCCTAAAAAAGCTTGAAAATCTCAGTTTAGACGCAAGTAGACGGTGTGAATGTTCCCTTAGCGAGACAGGCCTGCCAACGCAAGTGAACCAACCAAGCACTTGTGATTATCGAGAACAGAGTTTGCAGTCTCGCGAGGTACAAGTATCCGGTACTAGTCCCCTTTCCTCTCGCAAAAAAAAGCGTCGGTGTCTCCATTGTAACAGTAACCATGCCCTTAACAATTTTCTGCCATTGCGATGGAAACCGTACCAAGAAATAATTCAGTTTCTGGCGTCCAACAAACTGTGCTTGGGGTGCCTTCTCCATTCAGTATATTTCTAGGTTCTTTCCTCAGAGAAAGACCTGCAAAATCGCAAACTGTTCAAGAAAGCACCCTTCCATTTTACACGCCAGTTCCCGTGAGAAACATACAACAGATATCGGTGTTGGCACAGACGATGAAGTTGACGCTCAAATTCGTTGCAGCATGGTAAACATAGCACATTAGCGGATGCCAAACGTCAGACCTTACATGAAAGTGGCAGGACAGTCATGGCCGTGATACCAGTCAAAGTGAAGCAAGAGATATTGATAGGAGCGTAATCACGTATGCCTTTTTATACCGAGTTATTGATGAAGCAACTAGAATTCAACGGTTGGCAGACAAAGATATCTCCATCGACCCTGAAGAAGAAATAGAGGGCAATGGAAAGCTTCCTTGTTCGTGATATGCCTATTTCCGACTTGGAAGAGAATGAGTGGATCAGCCTCTCAATGTTGTACACCAGGCCAAAGATCCCTGTATGTAGCGGCAGCATTCCAACTCAAGTGGACATTGATCAGTGACCTTACCTGTAAGGGGTTTTCCTGCCTCATTTCCATGCCAAAGTCGCTCTCCTGATTGCTGGTGATGTTCCCTAAGTCCTCGATCCACTTGAGATTAAGCACAGTCAAGACAGAGGTCCCTACGCTTCAAGAACACGTATTGGCTGGGCGGTTACTGGACCCTTAGGTCGTCATTCACGGGCATCAGGCTTCTTCGCTAAAGCCGATCTTCAGCTCCAACGCATGTTTAAGAACTTCTACAATCAGGACGCTAAAGAAATAGTAGAGTTGAGAAATGGACATTCAAATCTCTTCAGCATTCAAAAATCGTCAGGCCAGCACCAAACAACATTTTTCAGGCTATACAGCGCGCAAACTGGTTGAAAAGGAAACTTGAGAGAGAGAGCCCAGATTGTTGGAAGGTTACAAACCCTTCATTGAAGACATTGTGTCTGAGGATTAAGCATGTTAAGTTCACCCCGATCAGAATAACCTCGAACAAAGCAGAACTTGGTACATAACCATCATGGAGTATAACATCCCCATGGGTCGTATTTGCTCAGCCAAATACATGAGCAAGTCTCTCAACGACATGTTATGCAAGGGTCCAGACCTAACTAACTCACTTGTCAGAATTCTTTTAAGATTTCGCGCTGACAGGGTAGCAGTGATGGCACACATAGAATCAATGTTCTACCAAGTCATGCTTCCAGACTGCGACAGTTCCTTTCTACGATTTCTTGGATGGGAAGACGGCGATTTGGTGCGTGAACTGTAAGAATTCCAAAGTGGCGTACACCTCATCGGAGCCGTTTCGTCACCGGCTTGCACGAATACAGTACTGTGCAAAAGTAATGCAAACGATTATCGTCATTTATTGCGATAATCGCGAGATATCGGCTATATTTGAGCGATATTTCCGTTGGAACGATTTATCGGCGATATATCGCAGGGCTATTGTTCTAAAAACCGCTACATATCACCGATTCATCGTTGAGCTCCGCACGAATTATCGTTTTCCCTGAGTGATATATCGTTTGAGCTTAGCGATATATCGTTTTTCCTGAACGATATATCGTTTGAACTAAGTGAATCCACTGAAAACCGCCCTCGATCAGGAAGGCCGACAAAGCTTCTAGCAGATGCGAAAGCTTTTACTGAAAAGCAAATGCGTACAAATGACGAGGCAACAAGCATTCATATTCAAAAAGAACTGGCCAAGCGTAGAATCGTTGTGAATGAACATTATGGAGCTAAACAGGGATGGACGCTACAGCGCACCCATTACTGTCAACTGATAAGAGTAGCTAATAAGGTGAAAAGACTAGAGTATGCACAGCAAATCCTGGATTCCGGTGATACATTCCATAATGTCATAACTCTCTGATTAATGCTCAGTCTCGCTGGAACAATACAGACGTACATGCTACTGAAAGGTCGACGAGCCATTGAAAAGAAAACCGAAGCCTAAACATTCACTTAAAGTACACGTATGGGCAGGAATCAGCCGAAAGGGAGCTAACAAAGTATGCATATTCGATGGTA